CAGCACACCGAGGATCACCAATATGGGTCCAAAAGTTTTAATGAACGATCACATAGTTACAGCAAGGCAACAATTTGAAGTCTCGAAGGACCCCTTCATCAGGCATGTGACGATTTGGTCACATGCCTGATGAAGGGGTCCTGCGAGACTCCGAAACATTGCCTTGTTGTAACTATGTGATCGTTCATTAAAACTTTTGGACCCATATTGGTGATCCTCGGTGTGCTGCTGACATTTTCCCCTACACAACAAGAAAGTCACACAACCATTTGGCACTTGCCAACCTGTAGCCTCCTGAGATGAGTGATATGAATATCCCAGAAGACTGTGGGTGGCTGGAGATACATCACTCTCATCTAGGTGAGAAAAAGAGAGGAAGTGGAGGGGAAATAATAAACTATTTCATTTCAATAATAATGAACATTCATAGCAAATAGGTAGGAAGGAAGGAGGTAGGAAATGGCCTAAACTGCAATGCATAGTGAAAGGTCCGCTTTAAGAAGTAAGAATGCACCATTATCCAGTGCGTTTCTGGATCTGTGTCCCCTTCATCAGGGCTGTAGAGAGTACAGACACAAACTAGGTAAGTTTTCTTCAATTTAAGGTGTATGTCCAGGTAAAACACATTTGTGTAGAGTAGGGAATGTCAGGTTGTACCTCCTTACAGGGTTCTGTTAGAGATGTTTTTCCCTCAAAATACTAACAACTAGAAAATATGCACAGTTTGTTTGAACAAAACTGGCCCAAGCAATCTATTTCCATTACTGAATGAATTGGCCATTGTGTACGCCGTAAAATACTGTGGTAGTATTATCAACAGTAAACAATAGGTGACTTCCTGTCCGTTGTCGGAATTAATCACTTCCCGCTGGAGGTACGCATGTATGTGGCCTCTGGGTGGGTGGGCTTTAGCACTGAGAGGCAGCATATATGCAGCTCTGTGTAAACCTCTTACTGTGGTGATTATTCGCACCCTGCATACTCCCAACACAGGCATTGGAATCCTCTCGATGCATACTTGCGATCAAGAGCTTTCCGAACATGTGACCATTGTGACTGCCAATCACATGATCGGAATGCCCGCCTCCACCTCCTGGCATTTAGACACTCTTAAAGGGCTGAGGAGCAGCAGCAGCAGGAAGGGGTTAAAGATAGCCGGCTAAGTGCTTTTCTCTCATTCAGGAGATGCCTTCTATTTTATCAATGAATACAAGGCTTTCTCTGATTGTGACATGATTGTGACATTATCCGCCCACCACTCCACTTCAGGTACCCCTATCAACAGCATACTGCCCCCCATCAACATCTCAGCACTTCTGCCCCTCCGGTAGATCGTGGCCAGGTGACTGTTAGATAGCGGTCTGGGCTTGCTGACCCACCATCCCATCTGCACTCACATCAAGAGATGGTATCAGGATGCAATATAGGAAGAAGGCAAGTGGGTAGAGGCAGTGTGATGCTTTGGACAGTGTACTGCTGGCAAACCTTGGTCCTGCCATTCATGTGGATATTACTTTGGAGTCCATGTCTCCAGGGGTCAGGGCTGTTGTGGCGGCAAAAAGGGGGACCTACTCAATATTCGGTGGCTGGTCATGGGTGTTATGATGGTTGGTCAAATGTTATGATTGGTCGGTGTATATCCTGTGTAGGTTTTAACATTGTTACATAGTAGTAGTATGGTAAGGTTGAAAAAGGACACCAGTCCATCCTGTTCACTCTGTGCAGGTGTGTGTGTGGATGTATGTATGTCTCTACTACTGCCTATATCCCTGTATATTGTGTTCTCTAAGAACCTCATTGAAATTATTGACACTTCACACTGACACCACTGATTGTGGAAGTGAGTTGCACATCATTACTGCTCTAACCACAAAGAACCCCTTACGCAGTCTAAGGTTAAGCCTTGTGGAGGTCCACAATTTTGTCTCTGGTGTCTTTTGACAGCTCTTTGGTCTTGCCCATGGTAGTAGTTGGCATCTGACCGACTGTGGGGTGGACAGGTGTCTTTAAAGTGCTCAGACAGGTGCTACTAAGTTAGATTAATGAGTGGAGTAGAGGTGGACTTTTTAAAGGCACAGTAACAGGTCTTTGAGAGCCAGAATTCTTGCTGTTTCTTAGGTGTTCAAATACTTATGTTCAGCAGTGCAAGACAAATAAATTCTTTCAAAATCATACAATGTGATTTCCTGAATTTTTTTTTTAATTCTGTCTCTCAGAGTGGGAATGCACCTACAATGTGAATTTCAGACCCCTCCATGATTTCTAAGTGGGAGAACTTGCAAAATCGCAGGGTGTTCAAATACTTCTGTTCATCACTGTACATGTAACAGAATACATTCTGGCCTAAATTTATGACAAAATTTGATTTTTTAATTTTTTTACTGGATATGTTTGAAAAAAAAAGACAAAAAATATTGTTTTTTTTTCCAAAATTGACAGTCTTTTTTTGTTTATAGCGCAAAACAAAACCGCAGAGGTGATCAAATACCACCAAAAGAAAGCGCCATTTATGGGACGTAAAGGACATAAATTTCATTTGGGTGCAGCATTGCATAACTGCGCAATTGTCAGTTAAAGTAATGCAGCACCGTAACGCAAAAAATGGCTGGGTCAGGAAGGGGAGTTAATCCTCAGGAGGGCAAGTGGTTAAGGAATATATTTAAATGAAAGTTTATGTGTCCTAAATTCAGCTTTACCTTATCATCCCATATCTACAGTATATATATATATATATATATATTTTTTTTTATTCTTTGGTAACTTTCTGTGCTCCTATTAAAGGTTCACCTACTACTGCCACTGAACAAAAATGGTTGAACACCATAAAATTGTCTAAGCTTAAATCACATCTGCAAATCCTTAACTGAGGATTAATTAATCCTTGCTCTGAGAATGAGATTCAACAGGTTGTAAAAAGCATTTAAAATCGTAAGACTGCTGGAAAGGTTAGCTTTGCCCCATATACTTTACTATAAAAAAAATGAACTTTATATTTCCATCCAAGTTGGACAGAGCATACAGTCAATATAATTGCATACTATGTGGTAATAAATTCCCTAAATTCTCTGATAAGTCAGATAAGGATCATGCACACCCACATAACTTCAGACCTATCTCTATCATAAATAAATACATTTAACTTTTCATACAAATCACAGCAGATAGACTCGACTTTATTGTTACTCATTTAATTCCTCTGGACTGAACTGGGCTAAGCCCATTTTAGCTGGGTATTGATAATATAAAGTGTCATTAAACCCACATCAAAGAAGCTATCAATAAATGCTGTGTTACATGATTTTAATACTCTCTTATTCACTATAGGATTCCTTTTCTGTATTCTGCAAAAAACCTGGTTGATCCTACTGCTCTCTATGTCCACCTTCTTTTCATGTCCCCAATGCAGTTGGGGATTTTGCAGAGCTGTACTGGCAGCTACTGAACATGCTCAGTTTTCAGTAAATTTCTATGCTGAGCATTTCCTCCTTATCACATCTGAGCAGCCCACATGACTATAGAGCGGGGGCCAGCAACCTGTAGATCGTGAAGTACCAGTAGATCTTGGCCAGGTGACTGGTAGATCATGGTTTGGGATTGCTGACCCGCCATCCCAGAGCATCAGAGTGCAATACAAGGAACACAAAGGAATACAAAGTTGGAGCTGCAGTAGAAGCAAGAGTCTCGTACATCAATGTTTCCTCTGTAATGCTGGCTCCTGTCCCATGCGGAGTGATACCAACGGACCCCGCCTCTTATTCCGGCTAGCAGTCTCCAGGGTTGTGCCAGCAGCAGGAAAGAAAAGATCTTCAGGTTAATGTGAAGCACTATACTGGGTATAATAGTATGGGGCTGCTTTCACACTGATGGGCTATGGTTTATCCACACCGTGGGTGCAGTGTAGCGTACCTGCAGCTTTCCTGCGGTTTGCTGCTCTTAGCCATAGGCTTCTATTATATCCTGCAGGTTTTGTGCACTTTCTGAAAGTTCACCACACCTGCAGGATATATTAGAGGTCTATGGCAAAGTGCAGCTAACGAAGGAAAGTTGCAGATGCCCTATGCTGCATCGTAAAATGTAAAAGCAGCCTTATAGGGGGCGCGCAGAACAGTAAGAGTTCATTTACATCTGCAGATTGGGGAGTGTTAAAACCCCATAGTTCAGACATGTTTTTACCACCCTCATCCAAACAGCCCCCTCTTTAGCTGCAGTGGCCAGGGGTGTACATATGTTGTAGCCTCAGCAGGAGTTATACACCCTGTCATGGCTGGTGGGTGTAGCACCTGCGCAGCATGACCCATTTAAGTGAATGAGGCTGCTCTGCAATCTTGTGCAGTACAGCAAACAAGGGGTTAAAGCTGACACCCTTGTGTTGCTTTCTCACCATCTGGACCCCGCAGAAGCATGCAGTTGCAGGGCACTTGCAGAGTGGCCCCATATAGTTGAATGGGTCACGATTGGTAGGCGGTAGCACCCCCACCAAAAACAAAAGGGGGCTTAATTCCTGCTGCATTTGTACACCTTTGGCTGCTGTCTCAGCGGCTAAAGGGGGTAGGGATTGCAGGTGACTGCAACTCAACTGCAGGGTTTTACCACCCCCCAACTTTATGTGTTAACGAGCCCTAAGGGTGCCGCTGCTGAATGCAACTAAGGGCTCATTCACAAGTGCAGCAGGCACTGTTGCTCCTCTGACAACTGAGTATGTTTGACAGGTGGTGAGGAGTCGATATGTTGCATCCTCACCTACCTGATTTAAAGCCAAGATTGCTGCACATTGCATGCAATTGCGACAAATCAGGTGTGAGGTGGCACCACTGCTCTTTGATTTCTCCCATGTCGTTCAGGTAGATCTCCATCTCTGTAGCCTCCCTGGCAGTATTCCCGAGTGTAGCTCGGGTTAAAGTTTCAGTACCACAAGCAGTAACCCCGAGCAACACTTGGGCTTACCATGCAGCGCTGCTCCGGGATCTCTTCTTCACTTACCTTGTCCTGCGCTCCCGCGATGTCCCTCCTGCAGTGTCCCCTGTAATGTCCTCCGGCGGATGCCTGCATCTGTCTTCTGGGTTCTGTCCCCTTCGACATCGGGACGTACCGGGGCTGGAACTGGCGGGAAATTTGAAAATTACAAAAAGTGACATTCACTAAAATTACTAAACTCACATAGTAAAACATTACTGTATCAAACCATTTCACATACATTTTGTCCCGAGTGCTTTGTCCTGTGGCCTGCCTGCATTTTTACTGTTCTTCCTGCCTGGAAACTGAGAAACGTCCATAGCGTCCAAAAAGCATCCCTTTAGGTCAAAATCGGTTTTAGACCAGCTAGAGAACAGTGATAGTAAATTAGAACCACTTGCAGAATTGAGTGATAATGATTCGTGGGGAAATTCATCATCAGATACTGAAAACGATTTTGCGACTTTGCTCAGTGATGTGCGAACTTGGCGCTATATTTCAAATTTCAGTGTTTTTGGTCTGATATTATGGAATTAAATTTATTATATTATTATTTTTTTATGATTATTAAATTATAATTTATGATTTTGTGTTTAAAATTTTAACATACCCGGGATGTTTACTAGACTCTTGTTCGGACAGATTTCAGTGAGTTATTTCTAAAAATTACAGGTCTACAATAAAAAAAATACATTTTTCCATGCAAAAAATGTATCGCTTTGAGCACAGAAATATGGACATAATCAGACCGCTAGGGAGGTTAAAGAAGAAGTACAGCCAAAAGTTTTTTTGGCTGTACTTCTCTTGTGGATCACAGAAGTGCAGTTTGTTCTGCACTCCGGTGACCCATTCTCAGCTGACAGCGGACTGAAGCACACTGTCGGCTGATGTCACAAAGCCGGTTCAGGCTGGGGAAAGATCCCGACTTTAAAGTTGGGATCCACCCCAAAATCTGGAGCGGCACCTGGCTCAGCCTCTCAGCGAAGCTCTGAGAGCCTGAGCCAGCCACTCCCCTCTCCTTGCACAGCTCAGAGCTCCAGTGAGTGCTGGGGGGACTGAGCAAAAAAAAGTGACTGGCAGTCTCTCTTTGCTCAGAGCAGAGAGGAGAACTCAGCGATCAGTGATCATATGATTTTCTGAGTTGTCACCCTTAGAGCCGGCGGGATACCTAGGTAAGTATAAACAAGGAAAAAAAGCCCTACTTCTCTTTTAAGGTTGCCCACCCCTGCTATAGAGTCACACATATGGGCATATACACAGTGGTAAATGACAGCCCACTCCCTCCCTCCTCCTCTATACCCACTAACCAGCTAAACACAATGGGGGTGGCATATTACATCTTGATTGATGGCGGTTTCACCTCTCTGTTATTCTAAGACATAGGCTGTAGGGGTGTGACATAGCTTGTGACCAGCAGAAATCTGCCCACACCATATTATTGGCAAAAAAATAATAAAGATTTAATTTCAAATATACAGTATATTTGTATGATGATTTAAAACAGTTTATTGATGTTAACCTGTTCCCGCCCGGACAATAGCAAAATGACAGCCGAGCAGGACTCACATTGATCTGGGAGGGTGTCACATGACGTCCTCCTGGATCATGCCTCGCGTGTGTCCGCGGAGCCACGCTATGGTGAGATCTGTTACCAGCTGTGTCCCTCAGACATAGCTGATGACAGATCTGTGTACCAGCCAGTTGCCAGTACCATGCTACTGCTGTGACCAATCACAGCAGGTCACATGACAATTGTAAACAATGGATGGCTTCCTTTCATGCCATCCATTGTATACAATTGTGTCACTAGCTGTGTTTGGTCATAGTGATCACATGTACAGACTGGACCAATCACAGCCCATCTGTGTCATGTGATTAGCTGTGGCCATTCACAGCTAATCACAACAAAAAAAACCTGAATGAATAAATTTCATTCAGTTAAATGCTTGCTTATAGCAATTAAATTCTTTGCTATAAGCAAACATAATTTGTAAAGAAAAAGAAAATCCTGATCACTTCGGCAGAGTAGTAAAATGTTACTATGGCAACATTATACTACTCTGGTCACAGTGTGTTATGAAAAAAAATTGTAAAAAAAAAAAAAAAAAGAAAAAGTGTAATAAAAATAGAAAAAAATTATTATTTTTTGTTTTTTAGTACTGTCATCAGTCAATCTCCCTGATCACCGCCACATCAGTTAAATGATGGCATAATACATTTTTTTTTTTTTATTTCTTCATTTTCCAAAAAATTACAACTTAAATAAACATGCCTCTTACTAAATACCTTGGACTGTCTACTTTGGAAAAAAAAAAAGGGTCATTTGGGGGATATCTGTACTGTCCTGACATTTGTGGGCCTCTAGAAATTAGGATTGATTGATTTTCAGATATATACCAGAGTTTGTGGACTCTATAACTTTCCTACAGGCTAAATAATAAATACTGATTTGAGATAGTTTCACCAAGAAATGTAGCAGAATACACCTTGGCCGAAATTTCTGAACAGAAATAAAGAAACACATTTTTTTTTTTTTAAATTCAGTCTTTATTCATTACTTTAGCAAAAAAACAAAAAACAAAACTCAGTGGTGATTAAATGCTACCAAAAGAAAGTTCTAGTTGTGTGAACAAAATTATAAAAATGTAGTTTGGTACAGCATTGCATGATGCGCAATTGCCATTCAAAGCACGAGAGCTCTGAAAGCTGAAGATTGGCCTGGGCAGGAAAGGGCTAAAATTGCCCGGTATTGAAGTGGTTAATTATATATTTTTACCCTGCATCCCAAATACATGTGACCAGCAGCAGCGGACTAGGAGCTCCTCCTTATGTTTCCCTACAGACAGGCTGGGAAAAAGCTGGGTCATGTGACAGCTGTATATCAGTTTGGAAAAAGGGACTTGGATGCTGTTTTTTTTATTAAATAATTACAGTGCCATTATCCTCATACAGAAAGTGAAGGGATGATATAAACTAAACAGTATGTGTTTAGTAACACTTTAATTCTGGATAGAAACATCTATACAAAGAAGCTGTTGCTTCTATATTTAGAAACAAGAGCATGAATATGTTGGTTCCAGGAATTAAACTGAGGTTGGTATGTCCATGCTGGACACTCCTTCCTCAATACTCTTCTTTCTCCACTTCCCATCCACTGCGTCCACCACACTGACAGGTACATGGCCGAGGAGTTTTGAACTAGGGGTACTGATGGGGAACTGCAAGACTAGTTCCAGGTCTGCCTTCCTGTTGATTGACAGCACATGGCAGTGGGCAGATCCATAGCCTCTATTTAGTCCAACAGCAGCTTTCAAATCTGCCCAGTGCCATGTGTTGTCAATATAAAGTAAAGCATCTCTGATGGGCAACTAGTCTCCCAGCTTCCCGCCAGGCTCTACCCACCCATGGAATCTCCAGGTCTACAGCTAAATGGGGCCAGGGATACAGTCCTGTGCGGGAAGTTGTCACAGACATGCCCTGCTCTAAGTACTGGCGTTCCTCTGTACATCAACTCTGTGTTGGTTTTAATAACTGCCAATTTCCTAATCTGAGAACTTGCAGTGATTCCTAAAGAATCTATTGCTGCCATAGTGACTGGCTCTTTAAGTGGCAGTAGTAGGAACTACCTGAAATTGCTGTGTTGATAATGCTACCGGCACTGTCACAAATGCTTGCTTAAATTCTAAAGGAAACCACCATCAAAAAAGTGTCATTAAAAATGACAATTGTGGAGCCGCTCAAAGCAGAGAGAGGAGTGTATCCCTGAATCCTAGAAGACAGGGAGCTGGCATGTCCTAATCCCAATCCAGACAGCAGATAAATGTGTTGAGAGGATCGCCACAGCTCCTGACCAGCCCGTGTGGATAAACAGTAAGAAGTGGCCTCATCCCACATTCCTCCACTAAACCACGCTTCACCCTGTCCACCAGAGTGTTGATGAATCTAGATTAATCAAATTAACTTCAGATTAATCTAATATCTATATTACTATATAAAAATCTCCACCTTTAGAATTATTAAAAATGAATGAAATCTATATAAAATGTATAAGATGTCTTGGTCAGGAGATCTGTTTTTAGCTCAGGTATAATGGCCCAATCTACTGTGCAGTCTTCACCTATAGAAAATCTACCATCCAGGGAAACTGGCAGAGTTTACACACTCCTGCTTGAGTTTTGCCAGGAAATAATGTATACCATACCTGGGCAGATGAAGACCGGAGGACACAGAGTCAACAAGGGCACGGCTAGGTAAGTTAGCGTCAGAATCAAACCAGAGACCAGAGGTTGGTGAAGAACAAGCCAAACCAGAACAGTGTACAATCAAGCACCTAATCTAGAGGGTTAAACAAGAATCATAGTTGAATAACAGGCAGAAAATCGGTCCAAGTTTAATAGTTGGAGCAAGTTTTTTTGGCAAAGAAAATATAGATATCTATCCAGCAGCTAACATATGAGTCAAAAACTGAATTCTATATTAGGCAACAACTGAAAGTGAGGTCCCTTTAAAGAGGTGTAGACCAATCACGGGTGAGCTGGTTAAGCAGCATAAAATGTTCTGGTTTTTCATTACAAAGATACGAGTGACTGTGCACATGCCAAGAGGTGGCCAAGGAGTGTCCGACTGAGTGTATAAAAAGGGTGCAGTTAAGCAGGTACTACTCACAAACAGGAGTGTTGTACGTAAGAAGATAAGAAGGTCACCAAGAGGCAAGCTTGACTATGTATTCAAGGGAACAACTAGTCACTCTATTTATTTCCAAGCATTACCCATTTATTTTTCCAAGCCACTCTTTTGAGTTTACAATCACCAGCCAATATGTTTGTTTATACAAATTAACCCCTCAAATTAAAAACATTCTCTCAATTCACTCATACAGGTGGTTTACCTGTGTGGGTCTACTGCAGGCTTGCTTCCCAAATAGAGGCCATCACCATTTTTCTATCACGGTTACATGATAGTTTACGCTTTGGGGGTTTTATTCAAGACGTGCAAAGAGAGATCACAAAAGATTTTAAAAACCCATCCCAACAAGAATAATTAGCTATAGATGCCTTTTCGCCAAGGGTCCCCCGTCTTGAGGCTTGGTACAGATGATCACAACCAGGCACATGAATTGAAGCATTCTTAGATATTGTGAGCCAGTAACAATAAGGAAATATGAAATTTCCCCATCCCTTGGCTC